TATTTTATCGATAAATTGTTCCATATTTTATTTATTAATAACTTTCAATAATCTAGTAACTGGCGCAAACAAGAACAGCGCATGCGCATCGAGTTGCCTAAAAATAACTGAAACTAAAGTTACTAGATTATTGAAATAAAATTTGGGACAATTTATCGATAAAATAGAAAAAATACTTGTATATACGGATCTAGCAAATAACTAGCAAACGTTTTAGCTCCGAAATATTTATGAAATTATGAGATAAAGGTTTCAAATGGCGGTTACACCCGTTACACTTGTCCAAATTTTATTTTCGATTTTTTACCCAAAATAATTAATATGCAAACAAAATAAAAATAAATGCAAAAATTAGCAAAGACTAGCAATCGAATGACGTATTCAAAATTATTGAAATCGTTAGTTCGACAGCTGGCTTCATACCGGTGTCCCTTTTCCTAGAGTCCTAGATTATCAGAGAAGCGCGACCGGCTTATGGCAATATCGCAAAAGTACTAGAAAATATTAAAAATGGCGTCGAATGGCCAATCATAAGATTGATTTATTCGACAGCCATTTATAATACCGATAAATCAATCTTATGATTGGCCATTTGCAAGTCCAATCAGGACTCGTAACACCGGTCGCGCTTCTCTGATAATCTAGGACTCTACCTTTTCCTAGCGCGTCGAATTGTCCGACCAGAGCGTTGCGAATGCGCCTTACCGGACTCCCATGGAAGGAGTGGGAAGAATAGACGCCGGACTCCAAGCGAACACGGGCCCCCTGAGTCTGTTTACTTCCAGCTTCCTACCCGTGTGGATCTAAATTGCGTAAGCCACGTGCCTAGTTTCCTAATCCTTTGCTACTAATTCCATTTCTAATATTCTATTTTCTTTATTCATTATTAGTTGTTAACTCGTCACTAATTACTAACTTAAATTTAAGCTTTACTTCTAATTCAGTTACTAATTTTTAATCAAATATACCATATCAATTTCTAATAATAATTATATCATAATTATTTGCGTCTTCCGTTCGACAACTGGATCTATAGTGTGCTTTTTGCTTCCTACTGCTTTTTGCTTTTTACTTCTGGTCTTTTTCCCTCTTTGCGATCGTTTTATTGACAATTGTGTTTCTTGTCATGTGTTTCCTGTTTCTTCCAAAGTTCGTCAACATTTATCCGGACAAAAATGAAGGATCAGGATGTAAGAGGCAAAAAATGGTAAAAAGTGGTAAAAAGCAAGAAACAAGATGCAAAGAGCACATTGTAGATCCAGTCTAGTATAAGTTGCATCATTCAATTTTTAAGAACAATCTCACAATGTTGAAATAACGAACGATCTCAAAGATACCTTAGTTAATTTGTGTTTAGAATTTTGTAATCTAATGCAAGTTTATATGTTTATTTAATTATAGTTATTTAAAACTGAGATTTAATTTCTTATCCTTTATTAGCCCAAATTTTATCCACTCCGTCTCCTTACGACAATTTCTGTGCTGCGTAATAAAAGTGATTCGAAAACAAATCACGCCGTAGTTCCAACAAGTTTTAACAGGTTTCAGGCCGAGTCATCGAATCGCCACGTGACCGACGCCATCTTGCTTAATCCAGCGACGTGGAACAACGGACGTCCGACTCCCGAGTTGTGAACCTCGTCATCTTGCCAGCATGGAGGTAATGGACTTCCTGTTCCTGCCGCTTCATCATTTCACCACGAGGTAACCGCCATTGTCTACTATAGTAAATCGCTCCATCTTCTGACGCCGGAGCACACCTATCGCACTTAACCCTCGATAATCCTGCGAGCTAAAGTCATTTGGTCATATCAAGCCGCATCATTCTTGCACGCATCGAATCACGGTATATGTGTCCGCTTTGTAACGTCGATCCCGCGCGAGACATTTCCACGCTAAGTGCAGCGTTCTTCGCGTGGATCTCCAGCACGGTTGCGTGCCCTACCCAGTGAATAATAAGATGTCTTAAAGACGATTAAAAGACGTCTTAAAATGTTTCGGACGTCCAAAAAGATTTACTAAAAGACGTCTTTAAGAGGTTTTAAAAACTTCCCAGATAGACAAAAAGACATCTTGTAGACGTCTAAAAGATGTCTTACATGTCTTGCAAGATATCTTAATAACTCTCGAAAAGATATCTTTTAGATGTCTTTTCGAAGTCTTACGCAACACCTTTAGATCTCTTTAAGATATCCTTTAGATCTCTTTAAGATATCGTTAAAGACATCTAAAAGATATTTAACAGACGTCTAAAAGTTATCGGTCTTAACCCTCATAAAAAAGAACTTATACTAGTAGTGAAAACTAGTGAAAACATTATACTGAAATATAGTAGTGCTGATATAGCAGTGCATGACACTACTACATTTCAGTAGTGTTTTCACTGCACTAGAAGTTCTTTTTTACGAGGGAACATAATAATTAATAACTAAGAGTCGGTATACATATATTCATAGTCATGACCTAATTAGTCACCATTTTGCTGAAATAATACTTATATTCAAGAATTAAAGCGCTCTTCTTAGTGCTCTTCTGCGGTTGTCAGCCTGAGCGCAACCAATAAGAAGAGTGCTTTGAATAAATATTAATTGCTTCAAGACAAAGCGACTTGTATGATGACTATGAAGTATTATATAATTGGCCTAATATTAGTATTAGTTTTCTTAAATTTAAGAATTCTGAGACTAAGTGAGGACTATAGAATCTAAACATGTTCTTGAAAAGTATATTACCTATTTATTTTTTTGTAAGGCATCCTGAATACATATTACCACACATATACGCATATGAATAATAACATTGTACAGTAAATGAAAAATATATATTTAGTAAAATGTTACTTAGTCATTATAATAATTACTGATGTGCTTTCTTCAAGTATAATAGCGCATTTTGTCTCCTGCGTGTTGCAGCCAGTTCTTGACATGTTTTCGAATTTCTACGATGGTGCCATTAATATACCTTTTATTTTTGGCACTGATTACTCTTATAAAAAGAAAGTATAAATATGAAAATACTTAGAAAAATTGTATTCAATTTATAAAAAAAAAATATAAATATTTGAAAAACTTTTCAAGAAATTGAAATTTCTCATATGTTGCAAATATAAAAAAACATATACATTTTATATATTCATGAACAATGCGTAAACTATGGTAGCTTTCTCGAATAATTAAAAGCACACATTAATATCTTTATTATGTTCACATTTCTCTAGACTAGACGTTTTTCAATATGTAATTACAAAAAAAGCACACATAATTATAATGTATTCAGAATAATAATGTTAACATATAAAACTGTTTTTATGATAAAAACATACATTATAATTACTCACCAACTACAATATTAATAAAAGAAGAATTTTTGATAGCAATCGACCCTTTAGCACCGATCCAAGACATTTTATGCCCCAGTTCATATGCCATTGTGTGTGACAAAATGTTGGATACGATTTTTTGGTTTGTATCACCGCCTATTTGCATAATAGCTTGCTTCTGTAAAGAATATTCGAATAGTATTATTTAAATATGAAATAAGTACACCCACGGTCATCGATTCTGTCCCTCGGAAATTTTCTCAAACTCTGAAGTGATCACTTTTCTACATTAATGCTCATAATCCATGCACGATTAACGAAACGAAATCGTGCATGGACTATAAGCATTAATGTAGAAAAGTGATCACTTCAGAGTTTGTGAAAATTTTCGAGGGACAGAATCGATGACCGTAGGTGTACATACATATGTTTTTTATTTCATAGAACTATTTCAGCCTAATGAAGAATCATATACGTAATAAAAATTCAAATTGCTATAAATTTTATTTCTTTAAATCCTGCAATTTGTAATATTGTAATTGTAATACATAAACTTTGAATTGGTGAATTTTGAGCAGTAAATGATATTTCAAATATTTTAATCAAGAAATAAGATGAAATGTGAAGTGTACAAGATGTATAGTTTATCAGTTTTGTTCGTTTTAAGTAGGTAACCGTTGTACATATTATACTGCTATAATGTGTGTGTGTGTGTGTGTGTGTGTGTGTGTGTGTGTGTGTGTGTGTGTGTGTATGTGTGTGTGTGTGTGTGTGTGTGCGTGGGTGTGTGAAAACATAGAGAGAGAGAGAGAATGTAAACGCATGTTTATGCGCGCGTGTAGTCAGCTGATCGTCGCGACGGTCCCGCGTACCGCCTGCCGGCGGACAGTAAGTTGCGCCGCCCCTGCCTACCATCCGTACGCGGCCCGTAATTTGCTAACTATTTCTCGTTATAATTTCAAAACTAAGCTTCGGAGAAAATTTTTGTAAAGGAAAAATCGTCTTAGAATTGAGTCAAGAATACGTCTTTTCAGGGACACCGGGGTTATTCTGAATCACCCTGTATAA